CCCTCCCCCGGGGTCCCTGTGCGTGTGGTGCCCGGGACTGCGGGGCCACCTGCTGCTTCATCTCACTGATTTGCGCCCTTTGCTTTCAGAAGCCACAGCTAGAGTGGTTCCTGCTGTTTCTTCCTGGGCACCTCAGCCAGCTGAGCACGCTGCTTCCCGTGTTTTCTCCCCCTCACTCCTCCTCCCTGTTTCTGGCCAGAAGAATGGGGGCTTGTCCTGATTTGCGGTCCTGGCACAGTGAGGCAGGGGCCCGTGCCCCGGGCCAGCTTGCGGGCGGTCTGCCCACACCTCTTCTTCGAGCGGTGCCGCGGCGGCCGTCCCCCTCACTGGCAGCACAGCTCACGCCTCCTGGCCACTGGGGCTCCCCCTACCAGGCTCCCCCTTAGCTTGGGTCTCGGCGTGTGCAGGCTTTGCTGTGGCCGGGGCTGGGGGTGGCAGGGGACAGAGGACCACCATCGATGCTGTGAGCCACCAGAGGAGGATGCCTGCACGTTGTGAACAGACTCGTCATGCACCAGTCACGGACCGTTTGCCCTCTTGAGAACATGCTTGGCAGAAGACCGTGGGATTGTAGAGGGTTCATGTCGTCTTCTTGTCAGCTGTTTGTTCCTGAAACTTTAATTACAGAGTACTTTTCCATTCTAGTTAACATCCCATCATTTAAAAATTTCTGATAAGATTCCATTTTTACATCTCATTTATTCATAACCTCCCATTATCGTAGCATTTGGACCAGACTTTCATTCCAGCTGTGGTCAGCACTTCCGACTCAGGGGACAGTCAGTGTTGGCCAGAGTTGCCAAAGCCCAGTTTCTCCGCACAGTGCTGTTCAGGACTCAGAAGCAGATAAGGCTGTCCTTGGTCCTTACATGTGCCCACGTCAGGAATTTGGCCGCCACTAGCCAGCCGTCAAGGACGGCGTGCAGCGCCTGGGATTTGGCATCCGCCAGCATTCTCGAGAATTGCTTCTTAACACGCCCAGTCAGCCTCCCCCTTATCTCATGTGAAACATTTTGTTGAGAATTATTTTCAGTCCTCAGTCTGGGTCTCGATTCTGAAGCTGAGAGATCGGAGACCATGTCAGACGGCTCTAGACGGCCTTGGAAAGGCCTGGTGTCCGTCAGGCCGATGCTGAGCGCCAAGTTTCTGTCCGCCTCTGAAATGACCCCCTTCTTGGTTTCGTTGTTGGGCATCAGGTGTCCTTACTTAGAGCAGTCGCAGGAATGTCACACCCGAGAGGAACCTGTGGGCAAGGTGGCCCCTCCGTCCTTCCGTTGGGAGTGTCATGAATTTTTCAGACTACGACGCAGTGTGCCGTTTTCCACGATTGTTCAACTAGAAAGTGCCATCGCCAGATAATTAAATTCCAGAGCAGGATCTCGCGTCAGAATTCAAGCACAGCCTGCATCTATTCAGCTGCAGGGTCATAAAGCTTATCTGGCCTTGATTCCGTAACTTCACCTTGTCAGTTTAATTTTCAGATGATGAAACCTGCAACTTAAAAGTCCCACCCCCGTGAGGCAGGACAGTGTCGGGCTCACCAGCGTTTTCCAAGCAGCTGCCCAGCTGCAAGTAGGCGAGAATAGTTTCTCTCCTTCCTGCACAGAAAGGGCCCTTCCCAGACCCGGGGTCGCCCGGTGCCCCTTCACCCCAGGTGCCCAGAGAACGGAGTCTCTTTGCCTCAGTTGGCCAAAGTACAAGACAAGCCGGCCACTTCCAGAAGTAATCAGCAAACACACTGTATTCCTTTCCCCCGAGTCGGCCAGAGCAGTCTTCAGATGGCCTGATTGCACTCTGCTCTAATCTAGCCCCCCCCCCCCCCCCGGCCAAGCTGTTCGCTGCCCTGTGAAGCATGTCAGCTTCTCTGTTCTTCACGTATGATCCTGAAACGCTGGGGTCTCAGAATCAGGAACGAGAATAGCGGTGCTACTACTGTTCTTTCTTCCCCGTTCTGGCCCAGCAGGCAGGGCTGATGCTCATTCCCATGGTTTGCTCCTCTCGATTGCTCCCCTCTTCGTGTGTGCCTCATCCTCCGTCCTCGTGGTGGCGTCCTTGAGGACAGAGAGGATGTCTGGTTCCCGGCACCCGTGGAGCCTCCTAGGCCGCCTTGGTCCACGTTCATCAGAAGGCAGGCTTGGCCGGCCGTGGTACCTCATGGCAGAGACGTGCACGCACCTTCCTGCCGGCCCGGGTCCCTGAGCCCTGGCTTCAGTTCCTGTGCTCAGGCTCCTTTCAGAGCTTAATGTGTGCTTTCCTCTCCCACTGCTTGGCAGCCTGTCCAGTTTAAGCAGAAGCAGGCTCTGTGGGGCCTGTTAGGAGCCCAGTAGAACTGGCCCCTCCTCAGAATACTCCTATCGCACGCGTATGGACTTGATTTGACATTTCTGTCTTGGGACCTCGAAGCTGTCACTAGTGTTGCTATGCTGTTGGGCTTAGGTACGTGTCAATGGGACGTCACTTCACCTTTCTCCTTAAATTACTTTTTATTTCTTAGGTATTGGCTAAACATCATTAGCTAGTACAATTGCTTATTTTTATTTTGTTTTAATCCATTTTCGTGAAGTAATCTTTGGAAACATCAGAAGCTGCTCTCCATCGACCTGGACAAAGTGGTATTGCCCAACTTTCGATCGAACCGCCCTCAAGTGAGACCGTTGTCTCCCGGAGAGAGCGGTGCCTGGGACATGCCTGGAGGTCAGTTCGTAGGTGTTTCAGTGTGCTCAACCCTACTCTGTTTGTTCCGGTACCCCCAGTCCCCTGCAGGGTGGGCCAGATGTACCTGTCTTTGCCCTCCTGGGAGCATCTGGTCCAGGCTTTCTTTGTGGTACGAATCAACAAGGCCAGAAGTGGGTCTCAGAGATTAACACACCGTGTTCCCTTCAGAACATTGTACCATGATCTTCGAATTTGAAGTTCTTTCAGGATAGCCAGGCGTTACACTTAAAATTCTTCCAGTAGAGTAATTTGCACACTCTTGTCAAAGTTCTGCAAGCAGACATGTATGGTGCATCCCTGGGAACGCCTGTCATCTGCTGGTTTTGGTCCCAGCCAGTGGCTGAGCCACCCTGGCCCCTAAACCCTCAGCCCAGAGGTCTCCACAGATTCTCTGTTCTGGCCCACCTGGGATGGGACTTTACTAGGTTGGGATACTCCATTGAAAGCGGGTCTGTGCCCCTCAGCTGATCTGATTGTGTCCCCTCACCCCAAATGACATAAAATGTCCCCCCCACAGGCAGTGGCTTTCAGCCTGACGAGACCATTTGGGACAGGTTCTCCCTTACCTGGAACAACTGATACCCAGTTATTCCAGTAAGGTGTGGGCAGCAGTTTCTCTCTGGAGATCCCTTTGCTCTTCCAAGAGGTTACAGCTCCCTGTGGGATCCCTGGTTCCTGGAACTGGCGTGCCATGGCCCATGTGTTCCAACCCTGGGAACTTTGTGCGGTGATGCCAAGCTCCTGAGGGCCTTGCCTGTACTCATGGGGTGTACCGATGATGGTTAGTTCTGGGACCAGGGGTCCGCCAGCTGCCACTCTTAACTTGTGACCACATGTCCCATCTGTGGAAGGCTTTCCCAGGAGGGTGGGGCATGGCCAGTCATCCTTACTCCCTGCCCGGCCTCCCTCCTCTTCCTCCCACTCAGCTGCTCTGACCGCAGCACCTCCTTTCCTTCCCAGTGTCCAGACTCCTCTGTCTTGCGATGCACTTAGGGAAACCGAAAGCAGCTCTAGGCACCCCTGTTGTAGGTTGTCTGTGACGGAGGAAGGGCCAGTCGTGGACTCCGTCTGAGGTGGCATAGGGAGTGGAAGGAGCAAAAACCTCACCTCAAGACACCCCTCCCACCCTCACTCCCGAGGCTGCTTACCCGAGAATCTCTCGTTTGTTCTCTACGGATGGCCCGGGTCACTTCACCTCAGGTTTCAGATGATGTCTGCCCTGTGAGCCTCGCTGATGCAGTTCGCTAGCATTTGTTTCTGCCGCGTTGGCCTCCGAGGCAGAGGCTGTGGCCGAAGAGCTCTGCTGCCCCTGACCCTTGCTGTGCTCTTGCAGGGATCATGCCCGGCCGCTACAACCAGGAGGTGGGCCAGACCATCCCCGTGTTTGCCTTCCTGGGAGCCATGGTGGTCCTGGCCTTCTTTGTGGTACAGATCAACAAGGCCAGAAGCAGGCCGAAGCGCAGGAAGCCCAGGGTGAAGCGCCCCCAGCTCATGCAGCAGGCTCACCCACCAAAGACCCCTTCCGTGTGACACCAGACCAGCTGACCGTGAGAGCCAAAGAGAGCCTTCGAGGACGGCCATGAGGGGCGGGCGGCGCTGGCGGTTTCCCAGGGTAGCCCCACTGGAGAGGGCTCAGGTCTCCAGCTGCAGTGGCATAGAGTCTGTCTTCATTGGGCCTTGCAGGGACCTGCGGGAGGGGCTCGCTCGCGGATCAGCCTCCGGGGAGACCTCCCGCGGCCACGGCACGCACCCGGAGGGGCCCGGGCAGGCTGGCTGGGGGCTCCTGACCCGAGGGGTGCGCCGAGATACACCAGCGGAAGCCCTGACCAAGCTGAACTGTGCTCCTCAAAGGCTATTTTCTATATTTATTGTTGGGAAAAGTCACTTTAAAGACTTTTGCTATTTGGAAGCAAAGCTATTTTTTTTGTCAGTGGAATGCGGTTTTTTTTACTATGACATCATGAGGAATAACACAGATTCCGTGATCTCCTTTTTGATGAAAGGACAGACTGAGATTTGAAGGAAACTTGCACAGATCTGTGAAACATAGACCTTCGCTTTATTTTTATAAGTATCAACTGCCATCATGTTTTGTAATTTGGGGTCTTGATTTCACCATTGTCGGTGAAGAGAATTTTCAATAAATATGCATTATCTGTATGAAGCTGAAAAGAAGGGTGTAACAGGCTCTTCTTCCGCCTGCCCCGTTTCTCCCTGATGACCTGCAGGCTCTTCTTCCGCCTGCCCCATTTCTCCCTGATGACCTGCTGGAATGGGTTCCTAGGCAGCCTGCTGGGTGGGGGCAGGGGGGGCTAGGGGGGGTTGTTTGAGCTCTAACTCACATACTGTAAAATTCTCTGACGTGTCCAATTCAGTGGTTTTTAGTATATTCCCAAGGTTGTGTAATCGTCACCCTTGTGATTCCAGAACATTGTCATTAGCCCCCCAAAACAAATGCCACACTGTCACTACCAGTTGATTTCTGTCGCCATTCTAGTCCTTCCCTCCAAGCCCATGAGAACCCCTCCTGTACGGGGATGTACCTGGCCCACACATTGCACGAACGTGGAATCATGCGATACGTGGCCCATTGTTTCCCCTTAGCATGTTTGTAAGACGCACTCGTGTGGTAGCATGACCAGGACGTCATGCCTTTTCATGGCCCAGGCAACAGTGAGGCGTGTGGATGGGCTCACTTGGTATATCCATTCCTCAGTCGGGGGACGTTGGGACTGTTCTACTTTTTGGCTCTTAGGATTACTGATGCTAAGAGTATTTGCGTACAGGTTTGTGTGTGGACATCAGTTTTCATCTCTGTTGGGTGTAAATACCCAGAAGTAAGATCTTAGAGCACCCCTGTTTACCTTTCTGAGGAACTGCCAAGCTTTCTTGTCCAAAGCGAACACGCCATTTTGTATTCCCAGCGGCCGGGCATGAGGGTCCCCGGCTCTCCATGTCCTCCCCCAGGTCCGTGAGCGTGCATCCTTCTAGTACAGCGTGGCTGTTGAGTGGTGTCTTCATTGTGGTTGGGATTTGCATTTTCCTAAAGATGAATGATGTTGAACATCTTTTCAGGCGTTTGTGGGCCATCTGTACGTCTTCTTTGGAGACTTGTCTGTTCGGATTCAGTTTGTAATTGGGTTTTGTTTATCACGGAGTTGTAAGAGCTCTTTTTGTATTCCAGGTCCAGGTCCCTTATCAGGTATGTGACTTGCAAATGTGTTTTCTCGTTCTGTTGGTTGTCTTTTCACTTTCCTGATTGTCTCCTTTGAAGCATGAAAGTGTCTTAATTTTGACGAAGGCCGTTTTTATCTGCCAGGTGCCATTCGTAGGAAACCATGACCTAATCCGGGGAGCCCGTTAATACTTAAGCCTTGCCTGTCCAGTCTGTTTCCGTATGCCAACCGGCTGACCTGAGCCTTCACGTCACAGGTGAGGACAGACTGACCGGAGGGGCAGAGGCCGATCAGGGTGCTGCTGAGGTCCTGGGACCAGAAAGGCCCAGGCCATGGGATGAGGGGACGTCGCTTAGGTTCACCTCTCCCTGCGACAGGACATCCTTGGCGGTCACACTGGTGACCTTTTTTTTTTTTTTTTTTTAAAGATTTTATTTATTTATTTGAGAGAGAGAGAATGAGAGAGAGAGAACACATGAGAGGGGATAGGGTCAGAGGACGAAGCAGACTCCCTGCCAAGGAGGGAGCCGGATGCGGGACTCGATCCCGGGACTCCGGGATCATGACCTGAGCCGAAGGCAGTCGCTTAACCAACTGAGCCACCCAGGCGCCCCACACTGGTGACCTTGCGGCTCCTCCCTGCACTCTGCTGCGGCTTCAGGGTGTTGCAGGCATCTCTTGGGTTCCCACAAAGCTCTCTCACCCCAAGCAGCCTGGAGGACGTAAGCGTTCGGTAGCCCTGCGGTCCGAGGGTGAGCCGGGGGTCCGAGGGTAGCGACAGTGTGGCAGAACCAGGGGCTTGTGCGTTGTTATGGGGCCTTCTGGTCCTGCTGCCTGTCCTGTTGCTCGGCACCGTGGAAGCCGGGGTCACAGCCTGTCCTCGTGCACAGGCAGGTCCCGGGAATGAGGACACGGCCTTGGAGTAAGACAGCAGGTTGTGGGAGCTGGGACTGACTGGAATGCCCAGGCCTTGTCTCGGGGACAGCACATCTTTAGGTTGTTCCAGAGAAGCCTGAAACCTGGAGTATGTTGGCAAATGACTGAATTAGAGACATTTTTTGTGACTTACACTCTCTCTCCGTCTCTGTTGTAAAGTCTCCCTAACACCGTAGGCCATGTGGTTGTGGAACGAAATTCTAGACCCCAGAGTCTCCCTGCCAGCTGAAGGCCGTGGGTGCGCCTATCTCTCTGCGGACTTGGACATCTCCTCCCCGAAAGATGGAACTTGGACCTGGGAGTGTCTCCTGTTCCTGCCTGCTGGGAAGGTCCCTCACCTGGCCTTCGAGGTCGGCGTCCACGGTTGTCCCTTGCCTTCGGGACTGGCTCTCCTGTTTAGACAGGGTGGACTGGGCTAGCCGGGGCACACACATGTATGGTTTAGGTTCGGGCGTAGGGTCCATAGGGTCGCATAGTTGGGACAGGACAAGAACGGAAGAGTTGTTAGCAAGTAGTTGGATTTTTAGGGACCCGTGGTTACCGCAGCTCCATGAAGGGAAACTGCATGGGGGATGATGTAGCAAGGTGAAGTTCAGTAGCGACCATGTGAAGACTCTAGTGGGCCTCTGAGTACGGGGCAGCTTCCTAGCCATCCTGGAGCCCTGGGTGTGGATGGGGATGTGCCCAGGAGCTGGCAGCCTGTTCTGTGATGTGCCTGCCAAAAAGCGCTGCGTTAATAGAGGTGTAACGTGTAAAAAAGAAGGTGGATCCTTTCCTGTCTTCTAGCCAGAGGGGTACTCTCAGCAGCTGTGTGCTGGGCTGACCGCGCTCAGTAGACTGTGTGCGTTGAGTCTCTGTGCATGGCCGGGGGCCTGGTACTTGGCCCAGAACCACACCACTGGTGCAGGCAGGATTGGAACGGAGCCTGTACGCCTCACTTTTGGGACAGTGACACACTAGGAGGATGACTGGACATGGAGGCCTTGGACAGAGCCATAGGAGGACGGGAGGGGACGGAGGAGTGGGTGAGGCTGAGCTGAGAGAGTTCTTCCGTGGGGAGTGCTTCCCTGGAAAGGGGACAAGGTCTCTGGGGAGAACCAGTTGATAACGGGGTCTGGAAAACAGATGTCCTCCCCTAAAAGAGCCCTTGTTGGTGGTTGCACTGGGATGCCCAGGGTCCACCTGGGACGTATGAAGGGGATGTCATCATCCAGGCACAGGTGTTGGACTGCACCCCGGCTGTAGCCTCAGGCTCCAGTTCCAGCCCGGCTGCTTCCTGCTGGGGGCCCTGCTCACCGAGCCGTGCTGCCTTGTGTCAGCTGTTGTCAGTGATAGATCGTTCCATGGTGACAGATGCATGTGATGGCTGCACCCAGGCTGGACCAACTCCCTGCTTGTCGGGGATCCTTTGTTGCCCTGGTGTGAACTCCCATCATCCCAGAGAGCACCTGCATCTTTAAAAAAAAAAAAAAAAAAAAAGTCAGCCCACCACAACCACAAATACATTTGAGGGAGCAGGCTGGGCATGGCGGTTGGGCCCCAGGGCTCATCCCTGACCGTGCTCTCAGGAGCCAGGCAGGGGTCCTATCTGCAGGAACCTCGAAGGTGCTGTGGAGGTGAGCTGGAAACAGGGACGCTGGGTGCCCCATCGCCACCCTCAGCCCCGCCTTAGGGGACACGAGGGTCTGAGGTCTTCTTGCACGTGCCTGTGTCCGTCCTGTGTGCCCCCACAGGAGGGGGCCCCATGCACGGTGGGTCTGAGGGCACTGCCCCAGCAGTGAGCGGATGCACTGCGTCTGCAGAGTGCCCATCACCCTCCTGGCGTTGGCCTGGGTCTTGCGTGCAGGAAGCCACCTGGGCGTCTCAGCCACCTGTGATGCTCTCACTGCCCCTTCCCAGGTGAGAAAACCAAGGTGAGACCAGCATTCCAGCCCAGGTCTGGCCTGGGCCCCTTGAGGCCAGGCTGCTTCCCCTTTTCCCGTGGCAGGAAGGATGCCCACTTACTGGTAATAATGGGGGTGCTACTTAGATTTAGATTTGCTGGACGTAAAATGGAGTCGGGGACTCGTATGTAGATGAAATAGAAGTTTCCAGAGAAATAGTAAGATTTTTGATTTTTTTTTTTATTTAAACGGTTGGTATTACCCGGATATGTGGATATGAACACACAGATCTTGGTTTCATTTGCTGGTGACACAGGGTACTGCAGGTGAGTCGCTGAGAAATACACATTCCTGGGCCTGGCCCCGGACTTGCAGTCATAGGCTCCTCGGGAGGAGCTTTGAAATCTGTTTTACAAGCTCCCCATAAACAGCCGCCGTACAACCCAGCTATTCCACTGCTAGGCGTAGACCCAAAAGAATTGAAAACAGGTGTTTGAGCAAAATCTGTACATGACCTTTCACAGCCACACTATTCACAATGGCCAAAAGCTGAAAACAACCCAAATGTGTGTGTCAGCAGATGAGCGGATGAACAGAAAGTGGCACATCCTGACACCGAGACATTTTTCAGCCACTAAAGGATGAAGTACTGATTCCTGAACCTTGACAACGTCCTGCTGAGTGAAGGAAGCCAGACACAAAAGGCCACAGAGCATGTGATCGTGTGTTTGTGAAATGTCCGGGACAGGCGGCCGCAGGGACAGACAACTGGCTAGTGTGCAGGTGGGGGCAGGTAGCGACTGCTGATGGGCACAGGGCTTTCCTTTGGGGGATGGAATGTTCTGGAACTCTGTGGTGGCGGTGCTTGCACAACATTGTGAATGCAGTCTGCCACAGGACTATGCTTTTCAGGGGCTCAGATGGTGGATTTTACGTGATTTACCACCCAAACCCCCACACCTCCCCAGGGGGTTCTTGTACCAGGCGTGGGGGCAGGGAGAGGCAGAGGGGCCCAGGGGTCAGGGGCCAGGCGCCGTCCTTACTGCCCTGCCATCAGCCTGCTGTCTGCCTGCTGAAACAGCACCCCCCTCCTTTGGCTGCGAGGGTGCAGTGCCCTCCCTTCACCCACAGCTGGGTTCCGGGTCCTAATTTGGGGCACCAGCCCCTCATTGGAGGGGGTGGACAGCAACACTTGGCACGGCCTGTGCCCTTGGGCCGTGTGTCACCCAGAGGCCCAGCCCCTGCCCTGAGTGTGGGGCGGAGGCGGGTGGGTGGGGGTCCTGGACCTCCAGCCTCTCTGAGAGGCCCGAGCGTCAGAACCCAGGGTATTGGGTGAATCCGTTTCCTGTTGCCACTGTGGCAAGTTTCTGTGAAGTTGGGGCCGAAAACACATTTAGTCTCCTATAGTTCTGGCGGTTGGAAAGCCAAAATCAGCCTCTGGGCTGAAATCAGGTGTGGGCGGCGCTGGCTCCCTCCCGAGGCTCCCGGGGAGAACCAGTTTCCCGCCTTTCCCAGCCTCTAGAGGGGCCTGTGTTCCTCGGCTCCCGGCCCCTCCCCACCTCCAAAGTCCTGACCCCACCTTCTCCCCCCTGACCTCTGACCTTTCCTGTGTCCCTGTGGTCAGGGCGCTGGGGTGATACTGAGGGCCCAGCCGGCCCAGGTAGGACACTCGCACCATCTCAAGGTCCCTAATTGTCATTGGCAGAGTCCCTTTTGCTGTGTCCATTCACGCGTTCACAGGTCTGGGATCGGGATGAGGACATCTTCACGAGCTGTCAGTCCGCCGAGCACGCTGGGTCCTTCTGTCCCCGAGCTGTGGTGCATTTGCGCAAGAGAACTGCGGGTCCTTGGTTAGCTGCTGCGGGTGGACCTGCCCATGACAGGCCACCGGCTCCTGGCGCCTGAAGAGCTGAGGCTTCTCTGCTTCCGCGGCTGGTTCAGCCCAGCTGGCTTCTGTTAAGCTGCCCGAGGCCTGGGGCAAATGCCGAGGGTAAGGGGGGGGGGGCGTGGGCCCAGGGGCACAGTGAGGCAGGGTCCCTTCCTGCAAAGAACAGTGCTCCTCCTACACATCACCTTAGCAGCTCTGGGGGGGCTTTGTGGCGATCCGGATGCCCGCCCCAGAACACGGTCACCGAAGCTCTGAGGGTGAGTCCGGCTCTGGTTCCTCTAGAAGAGTTCCTTGGGCAGCCAGTGTTGAGAACGTTCTTCCAGAAGCTCAGAATCAGACCGAGGGAAAGACACATAAATGCCAGTAATGGAATTTGACATGCACTATTCCCAATGACACCTACTGCTCACTTCTGTGCCGAGAGCACATTCTCCTGAGTCCTCCCAACGTCCCTGTGGGGTGGGAGCTGTTGTGATCCCATTTCCCAGGTGGTCCCAGCGAGGCCCAGACCCAGACTGCAGAGCCAGTGCACGAGGGGACCTGGGACCTGCCCTCATCCACCTTCCAGAACTTTCTAAGGGGTATGAGCACCAAGGTCCAGGGTAACAAGTGAGGTCTTTCTCCCTGCAGTTCTGAACCTATCAGGTGACCCATACTGTGTGGAGAAGGAAAGGAGCTGGACCCTGGAGAAGAATGACAGGGTCATGGATGGTCTGACAAGGTCAGTTGATGACAGGTGCTCCCCTTTTGGGATGACGCAGAAGGGGGACGGCTCCCGCGTGGGGGCACTGGGCTGAGCCACCACCTGCCTGGTGCTCCGAGGTGCCAGTGTGCACCCCACCCGAGCCAGCCGCCCGCCCGCAAGGATGGGGCCCCCCCGGGCGCCTCTCCACAGCAGCCCAGCTGGAAAGGTCACTCAGCCCTGGGAGGCCCTGGGAGGCTGGCAGGGGGTGCATATCAAAGCCTCTCAGAACTAAGAGGTTTTCCTCACTGAGTGGAATTTCACAGCCCAGTGGCCAATTTCTAAGTCATGCACGTTAATGGGCAGCTAATGAGGTGTCCAGGCAGGGACCTTGAGGTGCCCCAGGCTCCAGAGCCCAGATTAAGAAGTACAAAGCCAGCCGCTGGTGAGGCTCTTGATCCCCTCTCACTGCCTTGGGGAGGACGTGAGGGGAGCCGGTCAGAGCTGTGCAGCTTTTGAGGCTTGAGCTGGGCTTGCTCTCTGCCCTCCAGTTGCCTGGGCTGCTGCCCAGCTCCACCTACCTTCCCCAGGTGCCCACCACCCTCCTCGGGGGGCCGATGACCTCACTGGGTTCCTGGAAAACCTCCAGAAGGAGGAGGTGGGGTTTCAATGTCTCCTACAGCAAGAAAGGCCTTTCCCAGGTGCCTGATCTGGGTCCCTACCCTGGGGGACAGCAGAACACAGAGGCCTTCCCGGGACCCCCAGCTGACCCTTCATGGGGACTCCCCACTCCCCTGAATGCCTCCCCTCCTCCCTTCACCAAGGGTGCACAGACTTGTCACCTTCATCCCGGGAGCTCCTCCAGATGCCCCTGCTCCTGGAGCCTTGTGGTCACTCCTCCCTTTGGACCGTGCCTATTTGTTTGGTCCTGATCTCCTCACAGGTCGCCCCTTCCTCCAGAGTGGAGACCTCTTTCACCTCCGATTGGCTCTGAGTCAGTGTTTGTCGAATGACTGTCCGACAGAATGACTGAGAACACACTCAGACCCCAGATACATGGGGAGCAGGGTGCTGAATAGTGTGCCCTAGAGCCGTGGATGTGGAAAAGGGGTCTCTGCAGGTGCAGTGAAGGTAAGGATCTGGAGATGAGATCATCCTGGGGAGGTGGCATGTGAAGATGGAGCCTGGAGTCCTCAGGAGCTGGACGAGGCAGGAGGGGTTACCCACTGGAGTCTTCGGGGAGCGTGGCCCTGCCAGCACCCCCTCGGGATTTGATGTGAGGGCTCAGTGAGATGCCTGGCACCAGCTGCGGGGCCAGGCTCCCAGCACTGCTCAGCTGGTGGCAGCGAGTGCTGCTCGAGATGTGGTCCAGCTGTGCACTCCCGGGCCACCATCCCAGGTCCCTTTTGAGGTCCGTGCTAACAGGCTGGTCACTTGGCGGGCCCCGTGCTTACTGAACATGCTCTGTGCAGGGCCAGCAAAGGTACAGTCAGTCTGCTGGTGACCACACGGAGAAGAAGCCCTCGGCGCTGATCTGGTGTCTGTCAGATAAGGACTGATTGGGTGAGGCTCCAGGGCCTTGGAGATGTTTAACTTCAAGCCGCAGTCCTCAAGAGGTGGTCCCTGGACCAGCTCTGCCCGCATCACCGGGAAGCTGGTTAGAAATGCAGATTCCCAGACCCACTGAGTCAGAAGCACTGGGTTGTGACACGCTCTCGGGGGGGGGACTCGAAGCTGGGTGTCAGGAGTGAGCAGGTTCACATTTGCAATTCGAGGTGTGACGTTCGTGAATGTGCATTTTCCAGAAAGGACAGTTCCCTGTACTCTGCCATCTTAGCTGACCGTGTCTTAGGTCGGAGACGTGGTGTCTGCTCAAAGTATGGTCCGGACCAGCAGCACCTGACCCCCCGGAGCCTGTGAATATTGTGGAATCCTGGCTCCACCCAGGTGCGATGAATTAGAATCTGCCTCTTAACAAGACCGCAGGTGATTCGTGTGCACGCTCGTTTCAGAGGATCTCGAGGAAGCACCTGCTGACTGCCCGGGGCCTTTGCACGCACTTGAGTCTACAGCGGCCCCACAGCCCACTTTGAGCTGCAAGGTGGGCAGACAGATGGGAAACTAGGCTCGGAGAGATCACACACTGAGCAAGTGTGGACACTGAGGTCCGAGCTCTCTCCAGGCCCGCTTCCTCAGACTGGGGTCTGTGGTGAGAGGAGGTGCAGGCCTGCCCCTTGAGCTCTCCCAGCTGCGCCCCCTCCGACCTTCAGGCCGCCAGGAAAGCCCCGCCTCCTGGGAGGGGCCTTCACCCGGGTGGGGGAGGGGAGGGAGTCTTAAGACCCCTCCTCAGGCTGGGAGTCTCAGAAGCCGCAAGCTCTTGGGATGGATGGCTCTGGTCTCTTGTCCTTGTCCCCTTAGGTGTGGGGATGTGACCCCAGTATATGCTTTCTAAGGCTCCCTTAATTCCTGATTGGTTTACCACCCCCTGGCAGAGCTAGAATTTTCCTTCTTCCAGCCGTGGGGCCCCAGGAAATGCAGCTGAAGCACCTGGAGCAAGCCTGAGCCCCGTCCCTGATGGCTGAGGACTGACTGGTCACCTTGAAGTGGTATTTGCGGGTAAAGGCGAGGGGCTGGGGTGGGCAGGGAGGAGTGGAGCCTGGCAGAGCAGGGTGAGGGGCTGGGGCCGCTCTCGGGCTTTCGTGGGAGGACCCGAGTGATGATAAAGGGTGGGCAGGTGAGGGCAGAAGGGCTGAGGACCAAGGCTGTGGGGCCGGCCAGGGAACGGGTCACCTAACGGGGCAGCACAAGGTAGACCGTGGCGTGGGGACATGGGGGCAGATGCGTTGCTCTGACTGGTTTGGGGAGCAGGACGCGTCCTAGCCGGGAAGGCGGTGTGAAGACTGCCCCTTTCCCCACCCTGCTGCTGCTTCTAGCCATGGAGGGGGGGCCGGGCGGCCGCCCAGGCCTCCCAGAGAAGCCGGTCCCTGTGGCCGCCAGCCCCGCTCTGTCCTCGCTGGGCGCCGTCTTCATCCTCCTGAAATCCGCGCTGGGGGCTGGCCTGCTCAACTTCCCCTGGGCCTTCTGCAAGGCGGGCGGGGTGGCCCCCGCATTCCTGGTGGAGCTGGTAAGCCCCTGCGGAGCATTTGGGGGGGTCTCCAGGGGAGGGATCCAGGCGGGATCCTTGGAATGGTTTCTGTGGTGCTGCCCGTCGTAGAAACCAACACCTTAGAGATTGGCTTTTGGGTCCTCTCCGCTGCTTGGGGAGGGGGTCAGCCCGCCGCAGCCCCCAGCTGAGAACACCCCTAGGCTGGCGAGCGCGGGGAGGTGAAGGCCGAGTGCTCGAGGGCACCTGCAGCGAGTGAACCTGGTAGGTGGCCGGGAAGGCGCCATCACCTGGCCAGTTGGCCGCTCTCACCTGCTGGTTGCAGCTCCATGATGAAAGTCGGACCCTGCGCGCAGTCAAATCACGTGTAAGGTGCTGCGAGCCCCTCACACCCACAGGCCGCCGCGCTGGGCCCTCTGCCGAGTCACAGACGTCCAGCCCGAATTCCCTCCCCGCGGAGCCCGGGGCTGAACATCCGTCACAGAGAAGGGCCGCTAATTAGCACAGCTTCGTTTTATTTGCAAGGATTTTTTGCTCCCCGAGCTGAATGCAACCGCTGAGTTTTGTGGTGAGCTCTTCTGCAGACATTATCTTAAGTGCTTTTTTCTGGCAGCTAGCTGATAATGGCCTCGGGGACTTTGATGTCCTTCTGGAAAGTGCTCGGTCCTGCCCTGTGTAGGGTGACTAACCCATGCCACCCCCAGTGGTGGTCGAGGGCCTGTTCTGGGGGGCCCTGGCTATGACCGTGCAGTCTCTGTCCTCCTGAAGCTCCTCCTACCGGGGGACACAGGTAAGATACAAGAAGGCAAAGAAGATCCTTTGGGGCGGTGGTCGTGCTCGAAGGGTCCTGTGACAGAGGGTGGGACGATGCAGTACGCAGTGGTCAGAGAAGGCCTCCCTGAGGAGGTGGCCTTGAGCTGAGCCCCAGCAGAAACAGAAGAGCTTGTCCAGGTGCCTGTGAGGGGGGGGAACCTGCTGCGTTTGGACGTGTGACGACTTCAGAACGACGAGGAAGAGGCCTGATGTCCAGCCACAGAGTGAACGATGAAGCAGGTGGTCAGCCATGGACGTGGCCAGTGTCCTGTGTGAGGCAGGGGCATGGGGTCCCCCTCTTCACGCTCTGTGCCGTCCCCCGGGTGCCTTGCTGAGGTGGAGGTGTTGATTCAGCAGGGTTGGGGGGGGCGCTGAGGTCCTGCGTCTTTGAGGAGCTCCCGGGGACAGGGCTGCTGCCGGCGTGACTCGCACTTTGTGTAGGATGGTCCAAAGATTCCTGACCTGAGTAGAGGGATACCAGACATGAATAAACGTAAGCGCCCAACCAGGAAAGGAATGAGGCTGGTGATCGACAGCCCCCATCCCTGTCCCCAGCCAGCGACCTCCCCCACTTCTGGCCAGTGAGCCCATGTCTCCCTTCACAAGCATTTAAACACCCCACTGCTGAGAGGTCACTGGTGCGAGACTGTAGGTCTCTAATGACCAGGTTAGCACTGGAGGTTTTGTGAAATATAATGAACCTGGACTTCCTTTGGAGTCTCCGGGAGGCAGGCCCAGGTGTGGGGTGGGTGTTGTGCTGTCCTGCATGGATGGCTCACGGCATGGGCAGAGGGCGTTCACAGGCAGAGGCTCCGTCTGACCCCGCCACCCCTTTCCTTTTGTCCGCAAATACCTCCTGAGTGCCGGCCACGTGCTGGGCATGTTTCTGGGGCTAAATGATACGCAGAACAGACACAGTCCTGGCCTTCATGGGGCTTAGAGTCTGGTGGGTAAAGAAGCCTGAGAACCCCAGGAGACGTGGACACTTGTAAATATCTGTGTCCTCAGGCTGCCGGACTGACCACAGGACCACAAACGGGACGTTTAAAACAACTTCCTTCTCAGGGTCCCAGAGACCAGAAGTCTAGATCCAGTGTGGGCAGGGCCGCAGTCCCCCTGGAGGCTCGAGGGGAGGGTCCTTCCTGCCTCCTTCACCTCTGGATGGGCACATGGCCAAATCCCTCCAATCTCTGCCCCACCGTCCTATGGCCTTCTCTTCTAGGAGACCCCTTGTCCATGGATTTAGGGACCATTTGGACCATCCAGAAGGACCTCATCTCAAGATGCTTAATTATACTTGCAAAGACCCCTTTTCCCTTAATTATATCTACATGATTTACATCTGCAGAGACTGTAGCTGCCAAGTCACACCAGCTACAGGCAGAAACGTGCCCAAGAGAAGTGTGGCTCTGTGAGAGCTTGAAACGGAGGGCTTAGCCACCTCGGGGTGGCCTGTCAGGAGACTTTCTGGAGTAGGTGAACTTGGAGAGGATGGGCAAGAGTAGGAGCCCTCCAGGTGAGGGGGCGTGCTGGAGGCAGAGAGGGGTCCAGGCACAGGGATGGCCTGGACAGAGACCTTGTGGCTGGACAGACCGTGCGTGTTCCTTGTGGTTCTGAGGTTTCAGGTTCGTTTTGGGAGTCCTGTGCTTGTCCAGTGGCATCAGCTGGGTCTGAAGACGGACGCTCCAGCTTCCTCAGGCGTCTTGGCTCTGTCTCCCAACTCCTGCCTTGCTCTCCTCCACGGGATCGTGGAGACCCAGTCCAGCTTGGGGACACGTAGCCGTCGGTCCTGAAAAGGCTCCGGAGCATTTAACCATGGAGCGAGTGGGGCTTTCGTGCATCGCTGGGGGAGGGGGTCCAGCGGCACAACCACTGTGGAAAGCAGTCTGGCAAACTGTTGCAATGTTAGACCTACACCTCCTCTGTGATCCAGCAATTCTAGATGTGTGTCCAGGAGAATGAAAGATGCATCCTCCAAATGACTTATTCTGGAATGCTCAGCACTTCCCCAGTAGCCTAGGAGGAAGAACCACCCCGATGTCTGTCATCAGGGGCATGGATAAACCAACTGTGGTTCATTCCAGGCGATGGAATGGCACTCAGAAAAATAGGGATAAATGGCTGGTGCCCCCAGCGTGGCTGGGCCTCACACACGTTATTCCGGGTGTGAGAAGAGGTTTCCTGTGGGGACAGAACAGGGGCAGAATGAGATGGGAAGGGGCTAGAGAAAGCTTTGGGGTATGGTGGTGTGTTCTGTCTGGATGCACGTGGGTGGCACACATGGATTTATTGTCCTCTTCCGATGATACGTACTCCTAATGCGCAACCCGTGGAATTTTAGGAGAGGGATTTAGACTCTCAGCGTTTCCGATGCCTCTTTTGTCCAACTGGAGCAGGAAGGTATGAGTTCCAGATGCATAGACTTACAGCCTGAGAGGCCTTGACCATCGCTTGCTCTGTAGCTCTGGGCTCAGGGCAGGGGAGGGCCTGGTGGCACGTGGGGGAGAGGCCCCGGCCGGCAGGTGGCCTCTGCGGGTGACAGGTCTGGTGGAGAGGGTATCAGACTCCAAGGGGCAGCGGGCTCGGGTGTTGAGCTGGGGATGCACCCTGGCCCCATGGTCCCGCCCCGCAGGTTTCCTTGGTCTTCCTCATCAGCGGGCTGGTCATCCTGGGCTACGCGGCCTCTGTTAGCGGTCAGGCCACCTACCAGGGCGTGGTTGGAGGGCTGTGCGGCCCCACCATTGGGAAGCTGTGTGAGGCCTGCTTCATTGTCAACCTGCTCATGATCTCCGTGGCCTTCCTCAGGGTGATTGGGGACCAGCTGGAGAAGCGTAAGTACTGGCGTTGGAGTCGGGGGGTGGGGGGTCCTGGTTGATGAGCGGGACGTGGGTGCTGGGCAGGGCCTTGGGGGGGCAGCAGAGGCTAAGGCCACCCTTAAGCTCCTTACTCGTGGCAGAGGGAGACCCAGAGTAGTAATTATGGGCACGCTGAGGGTCACGGAGGGAGAGGGGCTGTGGTAGATGTCTCATGGGGACGACCCCATGCACGGAGCAGGGGCAGCCCCTATGAAGAGAGAGACAGTAACACCCTGAATTCGGGGACCTCCATGACCGAGGACAGACCCCCTTGGCTTCTCGGCCCCCATTGACCGTTTCCCTGCAAGCTGTGGATCAGCTGCGTCTCCCCCACATTGATAGGTTCTCTCTTCCTTTTTGTTCCGCTCAACATATTTGCTAGTTTTTGCTGTGATTTCTTTCTTGACCCATAGGAGGTTTAGATTCGTGTGGTTCAGTTTCCAGTTCCTTGGGAGTTTTTTGCGTCCCCTCTTGGCTTCTGCCTTCGTTTATGCCACAGTCGGAAAACACTGCTCGTAGTTTCGGTCTTGGGCGTTGGAAGCTTGTGCTGGGCCCCGACGAGGTCCAGCTTGGTGGGCACTCCATGTGCTCTTAAGGGGTGTGCGTTCTGCTGTTGGGCGCTGTGTCTGAGAACTCCACACGGCTCGAGGAGGTCCATGGCTTTGATTGGATCCTCCATAGCCTCGCCGGTTTGTTTTCTTCAGATCTAGTTTTTCTGTCAGTTCCGGAAAGAGAGGTGTTAAAATGAGCTGTCATTGTGGATTCATCTGTTTGCCCTTTTAAAGATTTCATTTATTTTTATTTAGAGATAGCGTGAGTCACGGGAGAGGCAGAGACAGGAGAGAGGGAATCTCAAGCCTGGATGGGGGGCTTCATCTCACAACCCTGAGATCATGACCTGAGCTGAAATCAGGAGTCGGACGCATAGTGGACTGAGCCACCCAAGTCCCCTATTTGCCCTTTTAATTCTGTCCATTTTTGCCTCCTGGTGTTTGAAGTTCTGTTATCAGGCTCATGCCCATGAACTGTCCCTTTTTTTGGTCTCTGATAATAGTGGGCCATCAAATGGACCTTAGCTATGAATGTAGCCACGCCAGCCTCCTTAAGATAAGTGTTGGCCGGGGTGCCTGGGTGGCTCAGTCGTTAAGCGTCTGCCTTTGGCTCAGGTCATGATCCCAGGGTCCTGGGATCGAGCCCCGCATCGGGCTCCCTGCTCAGCGGGAAGCCTCCTCCTTCCTCTCCCACTCCCCCTGCTTGTGTTCCCTCTCTCGCTGTCTCTCTCTGTCTTCAAATAAATAAAATTAAAAAAAAAAAAAAAAAGAGGAAGATGAGTGTTTGCCCGCTTCTCTCTCTTCCCAGCTCTTTCACAGTGAGCCTAACTGTGCCTTGGGAGTTCTGGATGCATTTCCTGCAGACAGCATGTGGTTGGGTCTTGCTTTTTTATCATCTTGACGCTGTCTGATTTTAACTGGAGTGTTGAGATTTTTTTAATTGGAACGTAACTATCAATATGGTTGGATTTCGGTCTCCCACTTTGCCATTTTGTGTGTTCTGCCACTTGAGCCAAAGATGAGCAGGTCCCTGATCCTGGGATATTGAAACGCATGGATTCCATGTCTTGGGAGGTACTCAGCCCAGAAAGAAGGGAAGTTGGTAAATTGGGGCCTCCTGGTGGGTAAATGGGCACAAAAGTGCCCTGCCTGCTAGAGGTACGTCGAGGCACATCTGGTTTCACCTCTGTTGGTCCGGTGTGGTGCCCATTGAGAAGGATTCAGAGGCTGCACTCAGGCCCAGGAGTAGGGCAGCCGGATTAGTGCACTGAGGATAGAGGCCACCCCGGCCTGGGCAGTTTGACTGGGGTCGAGAGAGCATTGCTTGTGTGTTGGTGGTTAGGTATTTGGGGATGGGTCTCGCTGTAGGCAAGCCCAGGCTTCTTGGGATGGGGCTGAATAGAGCTTGGGGGTGCTTGGGGGTGCTTGGGGGTGTCGTTTCGTGCATTGGATACAAATGACGGTAAGTGACGTGTGCTGAAAGACCTAGAGGAATGTTCTAGAAAATGAGGGCTCAGGAGCCCAGCTGTCAGAGCTGCGTTCCTGACTGAGGAGTTCCAGGTGTGTGAATGGGGCTTGGGCCCCTTCCCAGGCCATGTGGCCTCTGGCATGGCCATGGCATCTGTGGCTTGGAATGCCTGCTTCGCTCTCCCGCCTGGTGCCTGTGTGAGTGACCTCAAGGTGGGAGTCTGCCCTTAGAGTGGTTCAGTGCAAACAAGCTGTTCTGAGAAGCCATTCGTTTCTTGGCATGGCGGGCTTTATTGAGCTTTTGGTGGAGCACGAAGAAGGGTTACAGTGCAGCAGAGCAAGCAGCCCCAAGTGGGCCAGAACCACCTCTCAGTGCCCATCCTCCAGCCCCTTCCAGCCTCAGGCCATCTTTATTTTATTTTTTTTATTTATTCATTTGAGACAGAGATACAGAGAGAGAGAGAAAGCATGAGCAGGGAGAGAGGCAGAGGGAGAGGAAGAAGCAGGCTCCTCGCTGAGCCAGGAGCCCGATGTGGGGCTCGATCCCAGAACCCTGGGATCATGACCTGAGCCGAAGGCAGACACTTAACCATCTGAGCCACCCAGGCGCCCCCAGCCTCAGGCCATCTTGCTGTCCCCACCCGCTGCAGTCCCCACCATTGCCTTCCCCTCCCCCATCCATCTTGCCTCTTCTCTCAACTTCAAATTCTCCATCTTACTGTGGCGGGATGAAGAAATGGTCCCAGGTTCTTCGGTGTTCCCTCCACTGAGACGTTGGTGGGCGACGGGGTGGGTTGGGGGGAGTCTGTGTCCCGCCCCCTTGAATCAGAGTGGGCTCCCAGGCATCTCAGCCCAGTAGAATATGGCCAGTGTGACATGGTGCCAGTTACAGGCCTAGCCTTTAAGAGGACAGGTGGTTTCCACCGGGATCTCGGGGAGCCCCCAGCTGCCCCAGCCTAGCCTGCAGGGAGGGCCCAGTGGAGCCCACGTGTCCCCACCAGGCACCCAGTGTGGAGCCATCGAGGATCGTCCAGCCCAGCCCTCTGGTCAGCCAGGTGCCTGCAGCCTACCCACATGCAGCCGACCTGGGCAGCTCAGCCCTGCCCTAATTCTCCTCCAGTCCCTAGCGAGCGAGAAAGTGGTCGCTCTGGGCCACCGTTTGACTCGGTCTCCCGGTTCCAGCCCCGGAATGCCACTCCAGGCCCCCACCCTGCACACCCACCGGGCTCCTGAGCAAACCAAAACATGTTTACAAGAACTTGAGGGCCGACGTGCCTTAAGGGCAGGCAGTTTTGTCTTTTCTTGTCGCTGGATCCCAGCACTTAGCACAGTGTCTGTCTGGCAGAAGTGCAGTGAGTGGCTGGGAATGAATTTGTGCAGCAGGCTTCCTCCCCCCGTGGTGGCACGTGATGGGGTCCCTGTCCCATCCCTTTAGTCTCACAGGCTTAGTGCCCGGGGCCAACCCTGCCCAGACGTGGGGCAGGGAGCGCCGTGGCCAGAGCCCCGTGGCCGGAGCCATGGCCAGGGCAGAGGCCGTGCAGTGTTCTCAGTGGGCCCTGTCCCCCTGCCCTCCAGTGTGTGACGTCCTGCTGCCCAGCGCCCTGCAGCCCTGGTATGCCGAGCAGCGCTTCACCCTGCCCCTGCTCTCCGCGCTGGTCATCCTGCCCCTGTCCGCCCCGCGGGAGATCGGGTTCCAGAAATACACGAGGTACGGGCCTGCAGACGCTTCCTGGCTGGCCGGGCGGTGGCTCTGCCTAGGGCCCCCACCTCTGCCGGTGTCTGCGTGGGGTTAGGGGAGCGGCCAGCCCCTGTCCCCCCATTTGGACAAGAGAAAAAAGCTGGAAAAGCGTACAAGTAACACATATGCATGATGGGAAACAGATGAACAAGAACACTACCTCTACGGACGTGACCTGCTGCTGAGCTTTTGTTCTTTAATCAGTACAGACATCTTATGCACACACAGGCACGGAGAGACCCCAAACACTTCTTTTTTACTTTACAGTCTGAGGCTTTACGTATAGTCCTGAAAAAATAGAGTCGGGCAGAAGTATTCCTCCGGGTTTGCGACCTGCCTTCCCCGTTGTACGTGATGATAGACATTTCACTTCGGAAGTAGAACAGAGGAGCAGAGATCTTCCCCCGTCCCCATTGCACAGACAGGGAAATCGAGGCTCAGAGCAGTGAGAACTTTGGCCAACACCTTGCCAGTGTGGGCAGAGCTGGGACTCAGACCCCACTGTGAGCGGTAGCCCAGGCTCTAGTCGGCGGGGCTGGCGGCCACCCCAAGGAGGCCCCTAACACCGCGCCCCGTCCCTCAGCATCCTAGGCACCCTGGCCGCCTGCTACCTGGCTCTGGTCATCGTGGTGCAGTACTACGTCGGGCCCCAAGGCCTCGTTCGTGAGACCCGCCCTGCAGTGAGGTGAGTTTGCGGGGGTGGCTCCTCATGGCTCCCAGGGCTGCTGCACGGGGATCCTTGGAGGAGGGACACTCCTCCTCCTGTGGTTTGCACAGAGTCCCGGCACCTCCCTGGGAAATCCTTCCTGGCTCTGATACAGCAGAGCCCTGCGGAGTGACCTGTCCTCCTTCAGGATGGACTCGGCGAGTAAGGGCCAGGGACAGAACGAGGGACACACACGCACTAAACACCACGCCAGCCTGGGGTGCCTAGGCTGTTGCAGACCTCCCCCACTGCACGGAGCCAGCAAAGTTGGCCAGCAAGGCCCGGGTGCCTGGCCACAGGGAACGGGAATGCGTGGAGGCTGGTGTGGCCCGACCGGCCTGAGCAAGGCCAAGACGGGGGGTCGGGTGGGGTGGGGGTGTCCTCTGGGGATGCTGCACTGCAGTGAGGACTTCGGTTCTGCTGGGAAGCCCCTGCAGGATTTTGAGCCCAGCAGGGCTTAGAATCCAATCCGCTCATGGCAGGACCAGGGCCATGGGCACGTGACCAGGCCAGTCACCACGGCCCTGTGCCCAGAAGGATCCTGCACCTGGTTTACCCTTCTGCTGTTGCCATCCTGAAGTCCTCAATTGAACAAGAGGCTAGCATGTTCATTTTGCATCAGACTCCACAAATGATGTGGCCCCTCCTGGCTCACGGATTGGAAGGGGAACGTCAGGAAGAGAAGAGGCCAGGGCGCCTCTGAGCTTTGGGCTTGAGCACTGGGAGGGGTGCTCTTTCCTGGGGTGGGTAAGACATGAGCAGGTGGCTGGGGGAGGAAGTCATGTGGGGATGTGTTAAGTTGGAGGCGGCTCGGAGACCTATAATGAAGACGTCAGGTGGCCGGTTGGACCTGCGTGTCTGGGGGTCGGAGAGAGGGATCTGGACTGGAGAGAGAAACGTGGTTGGTATTGGCCAGAGGTGGCATTTAGGGCTGCCAGGCTGAGACCTGCCCCTGAGCCGGTGGCACGCAGTCCAGGACCAGGAGGTCAGGGACAGGAGGCGGAGCCTTTGGAAGGAAAGCGAGAAGGCAAAGCAGGAGGATGGGTTCGCCTCCTGGGGCTGCTGTGACAAAAGACCCCAAACTGGGTGGCTGAGCTGAGCAGAAGTGCCTCTCCGTGGGGTCTGCAAGTCCAGAGGCCAAGTGTGGCAGGGCCCTGCTCCCTCTAGCACCTCTAGGGGGAGGTTCCTTCCCGCCCCTTGCAGCTTCTGGTGGCCCTGGCCATCCTTGGCCTCCCTTGGCACATGGGCGCCTCCCTCCCGTTTCTGGCTCTGTCCTCACGAGACCTTCTCCCCTTGTCTCTGTTTCTTCTTCCTCTAAGGACACCAGTCGGATGAGCATCCACCCCGCTCGTGTGACCTTATCTGAACTTAACAAATTATATGTATCCATTTCCAAATAAGTCTTTGTTCCGAGGTTCCCAGGGGATGTAAATTTGGGGGGATGTCATTCAACCCAGGATAGAGGAGGATAGAGGGTGTGCCTCGGAAGTCAATGAACAAAATTTCAAGAAGGCTGGGGTGATTGCTGCCCGATGCTGCTCCTGGGTCACGTGGGACTGAGCCCTGGCATTGGATTTAGCTGTGGAGGCTGTGGGTGATGGGACGAGCTCCACTGGGGCAGGAGAAGGGGGTGAGGGCCCAGGGGGATTGGGTCCAGGGGAAAGGGAGGCAGGGAAGAGCATTCTTCTGAGGAGGGGAGGGGAGGAATGGGCAGGAGTTGACGGGGGACCAAGGCCTGCAGGTGCTGCTCATGCCTCTATGTCCGCCAAGGTGCCAGAGGCTGGGCCCTAGAGCTTCTTATCAAAGGAAGCTGGGGGGCCCCTGTCTGGGAGGGCTGGACCTAAAGGTTCTGCTCTGTGCACACCTCTGTCCTCTTAGCGTGGATGGTGGTCAAGCTGTCCTTGCAGTGCTGGATTCCAGGGGTGCTGCCTGCGCCCCCGCCCCTAACCTCAGTGGGAACAGGCCGGCTTGGCAGGAAGTTGGGACTTCCTTCTAACCACATCCTGTCCGAGTTCTGCCTGTGCAGAGAATGTCAAGTGAACAAATGTCGGTGCAGATACATCTAGGAGGTGTAGCATTTAACATGCCTCGTTTTCCTGGGGATTAAGAACCTGTCTCCTAGTCAGGCTTAGGCACATTTTGCTGGTATCGTTGAAAACTCCTCTTCAAGTGGAGTCTGTTTTGAGTTGCCCTTTTTGTGATAAACACCTGTTCGTGTCTCTTTGCAGAGCCGCCTCCTGGACATCCGTATTTAGAGTCTTCCCGACCATCTGCTTTGGATTCCAGGTAATGTCCGCGGGTGTGTGGAGGTGTGTGGTGTTTCAGGCTGTGGTGGTGACGTCCTGCTCCCTGGGGAGAGTGTGGCCCCCTGTCAGGAAAGAAGTTTAAGGACTCGCCGTAGGAGGAGACGGGCTGTCTCCTGGAGACTGTGCATGGCGGTGGGCATCTGGGCTCAGTGAGGTATGAATTGTCGTTGAACTCGGGAACCTGGCCCCCCACCAACACCAACAGCACATTTGTTGGGTGTGGGGATCCGGAATTTGTTCCGTCCTCTGCAGAATTCTCACAGGACTGTCACCATGGCTGGAGACCTAGAGCCACCTGCTTTCTAGAGAACACCTTACACACGTGCCCCAGGCACCTTCGAGAGGAAAGATCCTGCCTCAGGAGGCTTGCTGGGGGGGAGGGCTGGAAGGCGTCCTGGTAGCCGAGTGGCGGGGCACACGGGGCATAGACAGAATTTCTGACCAGGTGTCATGGAGTGAGGATGGCTTTTGTGTGTGGAATCCAGCAAGGGCCTAGCGTAAGGTAGGGTAGCCCTGCATGGGGCAGGTTCAGAGACAGCCTTTTCGAAGCACTGACGCCTAAAAGGAACCTTGAAGAACGTGTGGGAGGCAGCCAGGTGAAGGGGAGGGCGGGCAGCTCGAGAGGACAGCCATGAGGACGCCTGGTGAGCTCAGGAGGGCAGAGGGCCTCAGGCTTGGTGGGAGAGCGGCAGGGGGCGAGCCAGGCGCCCCACGCGGTGCCCGAGGGGTGTGGTGGAGGGCATGGGTCCTGGTCCCTGCCTTCTGGTCCCTCTCAGGGTCTTCTGATCTCTCAGCAGGTGGCAGCTGACTCCATTTGTTCGGTGTTTATTTTAGGAAAGATGTGCCTCCCTCCTAAAAACAGCCACCTACCCAGCATACCACCACCACCAAAACAGCCCCAATGTAAAATCTTATTCTCGAGGGCAGGGGGTCCAGGCCTGACAGCAGTGCCTCGTGGCCTGATGTTTCTCCTTGCTTCTCTCTCAACTAGCTTCTGCTTCTCTTCTTCATCTTGCATTTTCTTTGAGAACCATGTTTGACAAAAAAAAAAAAATCTTGGAACATTTCCATTTATCTTCCTTAAAAATCCGTTGATAGATTGCTTCTGGGGCTTAGCAAGCCGCTTGCAGGAATTTCTCACATTTCTTGTGCACCCAATATTTTGAAAGATCTAAAGCGATGATTTTGCTGTCAGCGGTTTGTCTGGACGTGGTTTGCATCCCTCCCTCCTGTGCCCAGACACCATATGGTGCGGCAGGCTCACGCTGCGGGGGCGGCCTTCCAGATGCTTACGAGAGGTGCCCCCCTCACCTTTGCCTCGGCTCCCTCAACCGGTTCTCCTAGCAACCGGGGCCTGGGCTACCGTTTCCAGGGACACGGGATGCAGCGATGGGGAGCTGGGAGATGATGTGAATTGCAGGGGCATGGGGGTGCGGGTGGGGGTGGGGGTGAGGCTCAGGCCCAGGCAGGGCTGCCAGGATCTGGGCCGGGAGCTTCTGGGACCTGGGGGTGGAGGAGAGCAGCTGTAAGTGAGGATGGTAGGGGGTAGGGTGAGAGGGCAGAGAGGCGGGGGGGGGGTGGCAGGAAGGGGAGGTTGCCTGTTGTCCTCAGGAGCTCTGACCTGGTCATACAGCTCCCCTCCCCTACACTGAGCAATGGGGCTCCGCGTCTGGCCTGCACAGAGTCCCGAGGGCCCGCGGAGGGGCAGAGGACGGCTGCAGGCTCTGCTCCCGGCCTCCTTGGAGTGTCTCGCTGGACGGATCGAGCGCGGCTTGTGAATCCATTCCTCGGCAGGTGGATGTGTGGCCGCTTTCTGCTTCTGAGCGGCTGCACGCTCCTCTGCCTGGCCTTCTGACCCCAGGAGAGCAGAGGGCCAGCAGCGGCCCACCCCCACCCTACACACTGTCCCAGCCGAGCAGCCCCGCCCTTGGGAGATGACCTTCAGTCCCCTGTGTGGAACCAGGAGGAACAGGGCCCAGAAATCTGGGGACAAACTGGAAGGAGGGCTGGGCGGCCTCCTGCCACCGCCAAGCATCTTCTCATGGTCGCTGTGCTCGGCTGCTCCTCTAGGCACAGAGCTGCGGCCCCGAGGCCCCCCCCCGCCCCCCGCCGCCACGTGGCATCCTGTGTGGTTCTGCAGAGCCCGTGGGCTTGGGGCTGGCATGGACCTGGGAGCAGGGACAGGGAGACGGAAGGTGTGTTAGGGTGGCTCCCTGTCACGGGCACTGGGCCATCCTGGGAAGCATGTGGGATGTACCTCAGAAATGCAATAGGAGTGCAGGAGGTGGGAGCATAGGTCCTCTGGGTTCCCCTGGTGGAGGTTCCCTGCGAGGCCCCACTGCCTGGCTGAGCCAGCCTGCAGCCAGCGGGCTCCTGCAAGGTCAGGGAGGCCCAGGGCAGAAAGCCTAAGATGCACAGGGGAAGGTGTGCGTGAGCTCACCCTGGGCTGGATGCTGCCACTACACCTGGAGTCAGGAGGACCCAGTGTGTGTCCCCTCCCGCCCCTCCCGCCCCTCTCGCCCCTCTCGCCCCTCCCGAATGTGTGCTGCAGGAGGGTGGGGATTGTGTCCCGCTTGTTTGTGTGGCATCCCAGACTGGCACGAGGGGGACTGTTCAGCATTTGAGTGCTGGTGAGCTGGGGCTGGGCTAGGGGAGGCCTCTTGGTTGCTGGGTGGGTTAAGGGGTGGGTAAATGAGTCACCCCAGAGCATTCTCTAGCTGTGCACCAGGCTCCATGGATGGCCTGAGCTCAGAGGCGTAAGTGAGGCAGATGTGGTCCTGGCCATCAGGTAGCCGACAGATGCGGAACAAGCAAACCCCAGTGTACTCACGGGGCGGGGGAGACCCAGGGAGGAAATTGGTCCTCCTAGGGAGAGCTTTCTGGAAGGATGGGTAGGAGCTGGCCAGACCAAGAGAGAATCCCAGGTAGATGACCCAGCACCAGCAAAGGCCCTGAGGCAGCAAGGAGGAACGGAGGTGAACTGAGCCCAGTGGGTAAGGGGAGCGTCCCCCCTGGAGCCTGGAGCGTGGGTAGGGGGACGTGATCGGCGTGTTTGGTTTTGATCAGAAGTGAGTAGAGAGGCTGACGTGTGGGAGGAACCCGGTCCCAGGAGCCTGTGACGGTCCTGGAGGCCATGGCGGGGGGCGTGGTGGGGTGGTGGGGGGAGGGACATGGAGATGAAGCAGTGCCTCTCAACCCTGAATGCAAGTCAGGGTCTCCTGGGCTGCTCGTGAAATGCCACTGCTCAGGACCTGCCCCAACTAAACAAACACCCTGATGTTGGCTACAGGTGGTTTGTATTTAAATCTTCTCATGATGTAACAGATTTCCTGTGAAGTGTATCAGTCGCTGGTACGTCTGCTCCCGCATAATCCTCAGCCCAGTCAGGATCTAGAACATTGCCGATAGCCCCGAAAGCTCCCTTGTGACCTTTCCCATTCACTAGCACCCTCCACCCACAGTTCCTTTTGTTCCTGTAAGTGGTGGTTCTCAGCTAGGAGCAGTTCTGTCCCCCAGAGCCCATTTGGCACCGTCCAGAGACCTTTCTGGTGGTGAGAACTGGGGGTTATTCCTGGCATCCAGGGGGTCGAGGCCAGGGACTCTGCCCAGCATCCTGCAGTGCACAGGACCGCCCCCACCTGTCCACGTGCTGCCGTCGAGAACCTCCTGGCACGTTTAGCTTGTAAATTGAACTGCACGTCCACGGAAACGTGTTTTCTCCTCGGGTGTAGTGTTAAAGCTGTGAGGCTCTCCCACGTGTGGGCGTAAGGTTGTGTTCCTCCTCTGGTGCTGTGTAATATTCCACGTGTGAATCTCTGCCGGGTTCCGTACACCTTCGACTCTGGGCGGGCGTTGGGGGGGCTTTCCCTCCTGCTGGCCCCGTCCCCCTGAGCTCCGCCCCTGCCTTCCAGTGTCATGAAGCTGCCGTGTCCATCTACTGCAGCATGCACAACCAGAGCCTCTCCCACTGGGCCCTGGTCTCCGTGCTGTCCCTGCTGGCCTGCTGCCTCATCTACTCGCTGACCGGTAAGGCCCGCCGGGGTACCACGGAGCTGGCTTGGGGGCGCAGGAGAGCCCGAGTGACGTGTGCTTCTGGAGTCCTTCCTGTGAGCTCCGCTGTGCCGTGCCAGGAGCAGGCCCAGCAGTGTGGGAGCCTTGGCTCATTTAACCCGAACCCCCTAGGGAAGTCCCCATTTCCTAGACAAGGGGCCGGAGGGTCAGAGGCTTTCCATGGCTTGTCCAGGGTCTCCCGACTAGACTGCAGAGCTGAGACCCAGACCTGGGCCCGGCTGTCCCCAAAGGCCCTGCTCTTACACGCTGCCCCCACCCCCGTCCCCTGCTGGCGTACAGGACCGTAATGGGGGTCATCTTCGTGTTACAGCTGGGGAGCAGCGTACAAAATGCTTTTGTGGATTTGACGGATTTGGGTGCTCGCAGACCTGTAGGCAGAAGGGTCTCCAAAGGTGATAGAAGTGTGGCTCAGAGAGGGCTGTGACATGCCCAGGGTCACACAGCACGCCCCAGGTCTCCGGCTCAGGCAGACTTGTGGCCGGCTGTGTTCCTCCAGCCCCGGGGCCCTTTCTTCCATCCAGCTTTGGAGCTCCTGACTTGGGAAGCCCGTGGGCAGCCAAGAATGTCTCGGGCTCCTCGGAGCGTCGTGGTCATCTGGGAAGCTTGCCGGATAACCTTTCCCCAGCAGGGCGGGGTGGTGGTTGTCAGTCTGTGTCCCTGGGTCGGAGGTCCGTGACCTGGTGATGGAGAGTCACCTCCAGGGCCAGCAGGTTTGTGGGACCTTCTGGAAAGGGCCCAGAGAGAAGCCAAAACGAGGCACAGCTCTCGGCAGGGGATGAACGGTGTCGGGACAGGGCAGGTGACCAGGATGCCGAGGGGGTGGGGGTGTGGGGGAGGGCCCTGGTGCCCTGGTCCTGCCATCGCTAGCTGCATGATTCCGGCAACGGTTGATGCCCTGGGTCAGGAAAACGGGTGCTTGGGCAGGAGTGGGACGTACCGGGCATGAGGTGTCGTTGCGGTTCTGAGCGGCGGCTGCTTCCGCGAGCGGGCCCCTCACACCGGCACTGGGAGCTGAAAAAAGGAGAAGCAGCAGTTTGGCCAGCAGGAATTTTGAGTCAGAGGCGCAGGGTATCGTGTTGGCTGAGGATAGGAAAGCCTTGAGAAACTGCAGAACAGAGAACCCTTCTAGAACCTTCTGTCTGCTCCCAGGGAGAATTTTCGGGGTGGTAAGAGCTGGGTGCTGTCAGTGTGTCCGAGCGGAGGGAGCGGGGATGTGACCTGTAAAAATACTGTGTGTGTGTATAGCGGACACACGAGGTTACGTTAGCGTCAGGCATGCAGCGCAGGGGGTGGGCTCCTATGTTAGGCCGTGCTCGCGGCAAGTGTGGCCGCCGTCCGTGTCCCCACTGTGCTAGTAGAGTGCTGTTGACCGCACGCCCCGTGCTGTGCCTTCCATCCCGTCTCTGCCACCGGCACGGCGTCTTCCTAATCCTCACTCTGGGCTTCCACCCTCTTGGCCTCCCAGGGGTTTATGGCTTCCTGACCTTCGGGACAGACGTCTCTGCCGATATCCTGATGTCCTACCCGGGCAACGACGTGGTCATCATCGTGGCCCGGGCTCTCTTCGGGGTCTCCATCGTGACCGTCTACCCCATCGCACTCTTCCTGGGGAGGTGAGGCCCGGCCCACAGGGGCTCCGCTCGGCACGGGACAGTGCCCTCTGTTAGGGTTCGGGGCACGCCAGGCACCACGCGGGCTCGTGTTTGGGGAAGATCTCTGTAGAGAACATGGAGGGGGGAGCTGAGGTGGTTTGCCCAGAGTGGCCCAGCTCATGAGGGTCAGGACCGGAGCCTGGCTCCTGAGCCCACCCAGGACTGCACCCCGCGTGGCCCTTCTCTGTCGGCGGCCTGCAGTCCTTGGGGAACGGCGCCTGGCGAGGAACCGGGGCCCTGCTGGGTGTGCAGGGCAATCGTGAGGGGGGCCCGATGGGGGGCGGGCGTGGGGCTGGAGCCGCCTGCGCTGGTGTGGCCTCCAGGTCCGTGATGCAGGATTTCTGGAGGAGGAGCTGCTGCTGGGCAGGTGGGCTCGCGGCCCTGGCGGAGCCCTCGGGGCCGTGGGTCCGGGGGCTGCTGACCGTGCTATGGGTAGCCGTGACGCTGGCCCTGGCCCTGTTCCTGCCCGACCTCAGCGAGATCATCGGCATCATTGGGGGCATCAGTTCCTTCTTCATCTTCATCTTCCCAGGTGAGGCACCTGCTCCACTCTGCTGGAGCTTAAGGGTCTGGAGGTGGGGGAGCCCCGCAGAGGTAGGATGGTGCCCAGCCCTGTTCACCGAGCTGGACACGGGCTGGGGACTGCGTACACCGTGTGGGAAATGTCTCCGCGGCTGGCAGATGCACCTGATGGGAGTGTTGTCATCCCATCCTGCCGGTGAGAAGACTGAGGCCCAGAGGCCTCTCGGGAGGCACAGCGGGGCTGCGTCACCCTCGACGTTGCCCACTCTCCCCTTGCTGCCACTCACTGTGGGATTTCCTCTTATGTTGTAAAAATGTTTCCAGTTAGACGATATTCACCCGCAAACATCTTCTTACCTTGTTCCCTGACCTGGGAGGCAAACGCGGTTTCTTACAAAACCTTCCTGGTGTGAGCGAGTGAAGTTCCAGTCAAGGCGGCCTGAGGGTTATCCCGGCCTGGGCAGCCCGGGGAGAGCCTTCCCAGAGAAGCAGACGTGCCGGGCACCTGCTGGTGCTCAGGGCAGGAACCCCAGATCCCTGTATCTCTGGCTCTGGGAAGTGCTTTCGGATGCGAGGGCCGTGGTCACATGGCCGCCTCCCTCAGCCGCGCCAGGTCTGCTGGCCTCCCTCGTGCTTACTTGGGAGTCCGAGACATCCCGTCCGTCGGGTTCAGTGCCCTTGTCCTGGGGGTGTCCTTTAGCTCCAGCCATTTTCCACTTTCTGGGAACGATCAGCCAGGCTGGGTTCAGTGGGGGAGAAGCCATGGGAGCTTCAGGCAGAACTGGCTTCAGATCCCAGGAGAATTCTTAGAAGAAAAATTAGCCTAGCAGCTGCCTACCGGTGTCTGGCCCAGAGTCCGGTCCTTGACGGGTCATCCCAGAGCCTGGCATGGGGGATGGGCTGTCCCTGCCGTCTGAAAGAGAGGCTCAGAGGGGCCAGGGTGTGAGGGGGACGCTGAGCTGGGCCCAAGGCCGGGCCCTCCGCCAGCTCGCTGTGCCGGGAGCAGAGGGAGCCCAGGGGGCCTCGCTGGGCACAGGCCTTGCTGGCCTCCTGGGTCCCTGGGGATGGCTGGGTGCCGACTGAGCTCTCGAGCTCAGGGTTGCTCTGGGTTCGCTTGTCCACAGCTGCAGCGGCCCCGTGTCTCTTTGCAGGTCTGTGCCTCGTTCATGCTGCCAGCGTCGAGCCCATGGCTCCGAACGTCAAGTAAGTGTGCTGAAACAAGGGTGGCAGCGTGGGCACTGGAGGGGCTCCGAGCGAGCAGAACGGGAACGTGGCAGGGCCTGTGGAGATCCCATTGTCCTGCGGAGGAGAAAACGGCCGGCCACACAATGTGGGCCTTACCCACACAATGAGCGGGCGTCTGCGCCAGGAGCCGAACCCCGGCCTGCGACGCTGGGGCCCGCGAGCTAGCAGTCTGTGCACGGCCCTCGCTCCCACCCAGAGGGTGATCGTCCGTGCTGGGAGCTGTCTGTGGGCTCGGGGGGTCCCAGCCGTGCATGCTTCCCCATCCTGCACTCCGACCCTGGGCAGCACGGGGCACAGCTGGTCCTGTTGCACGGAACCCTGCCTCCTGGGGGCCATGTGGGCATTAGGGTAGCTCGTTCCCTCAGCAAGGTAGTAGGCCCTGTCTGGACACCTGCCGGGCCTCGCCCAGCTCCCTGTGATCCTGGGCTATCCAGCCTGCGGACGAGGGGACAGAAACTTCCCCATGGGCGCATGGCAGGTCAGGACAGAGCTGGGACTCCAGCCTGGCTGGCCTGGCTCGGGCCTCACACCTGCCTCCTCCCTGTTCCCCGTGGTGGGGGTAGACAAGAGAATTTGAGATATCCCTTTTTCCAGCAGAAGGCCGTCCTTCTCCAGCGTGGCCTCTGATAGGACTGGAGCCTGTCCTTTGCCTTTGAGGGGCCCAGGCCGTCCCCTCGGAGAAAGGGAATGTGCATGGCTGAAGCACCATACCTCGGCCAGAGCCTGGGTGGCCCTTGTGCCCGTCCCACAGGCGTGAGGACAGGCCGAGGCTTGCAGACAGACGCCGTGTTAGGTTTGCTGGGGCACACACCGCAACAGGAATCTGTTCTCCCTCGGAAGGCTCTAGAGCCTGCTCTGTTCCTTGCCATCTCCTGCCATCACCTGGTGGCTCCATGTGTCCCTGGCTTGTGGCTGCATCACCCCAGTCTCTGCCTCCAGCCTCACATGGCCTGTGTGTCTCTGCCTTAAATCTCCCTGTGCCTCTTTCTCATAAGGACACCTGTCATGGGGTTGAAGGCCCAGTCCCAATCCAGGATGATCTGCTTTCCAGATTTTGAACTTCATCACATCTGCAAAGACCCTATTTCCAAATAAGTTCATGTTCACAGGTTCGGGGTGGACGTGAATTTTGGGGACCAGCATTCAGCCCAGGGCAGGTGCTCTTAAGTTACAGCAGCCGTGGGCTTGGGTCCCACCTGCAGGCCGGTGTCTCTGTCTCCCCTTGTCTCCAGCCCCCTCAAGCCCAGGTTCGGGTTTCCTGAAGCAGCCAGCTAGGATTTGTCCCCTTGTGGGGGAGAAGAGCTTTCCTGGACGTCTCTGAACCTGAGTTGGGCTGGGGGCTGGCGCCGATCGTCTGGGGCCCCTACGCGGCTCTTTCCCTCAGTGGTCTTCGAGGTCCTGCTGTTGCTCTTTTGGGCCTCGGGCCAAGCTCACAGCAGTTTCTACTGGTGGGCTTTGAAGAGATTTTTAATCCTGGCGCTGCTTAGGGCCTCCTGATCCCTCAGAGCTGCTCGAGGAGCCTGCAGGCCCCGGGCACGTTGACACGCTCTCCCTGCTTCCAGGGACTCTGCTTTGCTAAACAGTCTTTCCGAGACCGCGGGTCCGGGGGCCTTTGTTAATCCGGCCAGAAAAGGTCTCTGGCAGCCCTGCCATTCGTGGGAATCCTGTTTCCTTGTCCACACGGTGTCGGCCGGTACATCATGAAGCTCGCAGACGTGTCCTGGGGGCTTCCGTGGCCGACCACCTCTGCCTCCCGTGCCCTCGTGCCCCACCCACTGTCCCGATCAAGGGTGACTTTGGGCTTTCTTCTCCTTCCTCATTTTCAGGGGGGGACTTCATCCCTCCTCCCCTTGCTCCCAAAGGGAAAGGAATGACAAGGTGTCTCCCTCCCCCATTTCTTTGGCTTTGATAAAAGGCTAGGGAGGAATGGAGTCATCAGTTAACAGTTGCAGTGTGGGGCTTTAACTGCCTGGGGCCATTATCCCCCGTTGCCTTGGAAACCCATCCATCCCTACAGGTGAGGGAGGATACTGTGGATTTTTTTCTACCTCGGTCCCTCCGCTGGCTTCCCGTGATGGGCTTTCTGCCATGTGCTTGGCTTGTCTGCACAGAGGTCCAGAGAAGAGTGTGTTGATGTGTGTGTGTTGACCTGGCAGGTGCTGCTTGGAAGTGTGGGGAGTGGTCTCCGTGCTTGTGGGCACCTTCATCTTCGGGCAGAGCACGGTGGCCGCGGTCTTGGAACTCTTCTGAGCGGGAGGGGGTCGGCCTGGCCTCCACGCGGCGCCGGTGTGGCTGCCCCCGTGTCCAGCTGCGACCCGTGTCCTTTCATTATAAAGATGCTGCGGAAACGGACCCGTCCTGTCTTCTAAGGTTGCTCATTTGGGCTTGTGCGGGTTCAGGGGGTTTCAGGTGCAGTGCTGAGGAGGGTGTACTGACGTCCTGGGGCTCCCCTAACAGAAGGCCACACGCTGGGGGGCTTCAGACACAGTCCCGGAGGGGGGCGGTCTGAGACTGAGGCGTGGCCAAGACCGTGCTCCCTCTGAAGGCTCTGGGCGAGGGCCCTCCCGCCGCCTGCAGCCCCTGGTGTTGCTGGCCACCCTTGGTATTTCTTGGCCTGTAGACACACCCCTCCAGCTCAGCTTCCTGCCCCCACATGGCTGGCTGCTCGTGTGTCCGTCCAGATTTCCCTCCTCTTACGAGGACACCAGTCATTGGATCAGGACCACCTTAGTACAGGATGACCTCCCCTTAATTGAGGGACTGCTGAGATCCTCTTTTCAGATGAGGTCACAGTCACAGGTTCCAGGAGGTGGGCCTTCAACTTAGTATCTCCAGGGGATACAGTTCATACCACAGGCAGGGGCTGAGGCCCAGGGAGCTCTGCTTTGGCCCACACTCCGACGGGAGGGCCCCAGGGAGAGCCCCCCTTTCCCTTCCGGCTGGACCTGAAGAGCCTGGGGGCCCAGTGGGCTGTTGGCTCTGTACTTTCTTCCCGACCCCAGCCAATCCTGGGGTGAGGGGTGACACCTGCAGCTGAGGGTGAGGGGACCGGGGCTCAGCCCTGGGGCCAGGGTAGGGGAAAGGCGGCGGCGGGGAGAGGGTGGGGGGAGAGGCAGCCGGGGCCCAGCTGCTCCTTCGTGCTGTGCTTGCTGGCACTGACCCTGCATGGGACCTGGGATGTTCTGGATGCCGCTGGATCCGGGCCGCCCTTCCTCTGCCTTGGGACGTCCACTGGAAGCCAGTGTGCCAGAGCCGGGAGGGGCCGACGTGCGAGGACCGCGCCCTCAGGGTAAGGGCTGGCCCGGGCCCTGTCGGTCCTGTGTTGAGCAATGCGTGCCTGCCCGTGTGAGACGAGCGGTGATGCCGCTGGGGTTTGGGGGCCTTTTTTATTCCGGCCTAGCCAGTTGCATTAATTTTTTTTGAGCTGTAATTCACATACCATGAAGTTCAACCTTGCAAAGCGCACAGTGCGGTGGGTGTTGATGGCCAGAGTGGTACTGCCACTGCCAACATCTGATTCTGGTGTATTTTGTGCCCCCAGAGAAAGCTGCGCCCATCAGCAGCCCCTGCCCTGGCCCCGGGAACTAGGAGTCCGCCGTCTCTGCGGATCGGCTGCTTCCGGACACTCCGTACGAATGGCCTTTGTGTCTGGCTCCGTTGACTTCGCGTGTTTTCAGATTCGTCCGTTTTACAGGTGAGGCACTGAGGCTCGGACAAGTCCAGGATACCCGTCCTGTGAGGTACAGAGCCAGGGTCGGGATGGATTTGGGGTTAAATGCCATTGTCCCTTTTCCTTCTAGCACATGTTCCAAGTGGCCAAGGGGATGGGACCTGGTCTGCCCAACCCCAGGGACAGGGATGGCCCCTCTGCCCTCCTCCGTCCTGGCTGCGGGTGTAGACTCTGACCCAGTGAAGCGGGCACAGGAGTCTCCTCCAGGTGCCCTCTGGCCAGCCCCACACCTTGTGTCTGGTGGCCACAGCGTCCCCCCGGGCAAGGGCCTCAGAGCCAGGCCAGGGGCTGCGGCAGAACTGCCCCTCGGCGGCAGCCAGTGGAGTCCTTGATCACGTATGCCGCACGCTTCGGACGAGTGGTGCCGTGCCGGCCGGGAAGGCTGGGGCCGGGCTAGGGCCGCTCACGGAGTCCCGGGGAAGAGCCGAGTGTGGCAGGGGAAGGCTGGGCCCTTGAAGGGGGCACTGTGGGAATTGGCTTCGGGGTCAGACTCTTGCTGTTGAGCACAGGTTCTGCCACTTGCTATCTCAATATTGGGGGAGTTGATGAAGTGCTTCTGGGAATCTGTTTCCCCACCAAACAGAGCAGGCTTATTGCGTATGATGCCAGGAGGGCTCAACCGTGAGAATTAAAGATGATAATGTGTCTCACGCAGCAGTGTGGGGTGGGGGCTGCTGAGCAATGGTAGCTTTATTTCCAGAAAACCTAGGTTGAGATGAGGTGAACACCGAGCTTCCCGGCCACCAAGGGAAAAGGGAAAGAAGATGCTAGGGCCCATCCAAAAACAGGAAGGCACATCAGGGAGGAAGTGGACTGGCACTCCATGCTGAGGGAAGAGGGTGGGGCCCCTGAAGGGGCGATGCACATCTCCCTGGGGACAGTCATTTTTATCTTGATCTGTGTCAGGGACAGGATCGGGTCCTCCTAGGATGGAGTGTCACCTCAACCGTCATCATGCAGCACGTACGGCAGAGAACTGCAGGCCGGGGTGTTGCCCTCTGATGTCTCAGCCGGCGGATGTATGAGCTGACTCAGGGTTGTCCTCCTCCCACACTAAGTGACCCCGTGAGGTTCCTGCCGGCGGGTGGCAGGAAGGGCTGAAGTGGTGTCCTCACGGTCAAGGTGGCATTTGGGCTCTAGGGGTGGGCTCTGCCCTTCCCTAGCAGCGGTACAGCCTGGGCTAGCCCACGCAAACCTCCCTCCTGCTAGTGTCAGCCTCGGTGTCCTTCCTCGGGTAGGTCAGCAGCCACCGCCTCCTTTCTCCCTTGTGGCCCTCAGTTTGCGTCCTCCTCGCTCTCCTCTAAAACCGAGCAAAGGACAGCCCCTCTGCCCCCCACAGGTTAGCAACGAGCGTGAGTTGAGACCTACCTGTAACACCACCGGCACAGAGGCTGGCCTGTCCCGGGTCCCGGGCCACGGTCACCCCTGTGCGGGAGGGTGGAGACCCACGTCTCAATCCTGCAGATGTGGCCAAGTGATAGTGTGTCAGAGTGATGAGTTCTGCTGTGAGGGCGAGGGCTGCCGGGTGCTCTGGGCAGGACCTTTCCCCTGGCTTAGGTGCTTCCCCGGTAGCTGGGCAGGGACACCAGCCCCCGGTGCCGCCGGTCCCCTGAGCAGCTGCCCCCCCCTTCCACCCAGGCTTGCCTCTGCACGCTCGCCGCGGGAGGTTTGGGTTTTGAGCTGGATATGTGGCAAGAACGTGGATCGGCCACTGAACGCAGGTGGTGAACTTCTTGATCGGGGCAGGTGAGCTGATTTGAGATTTTTGGGGGGTGGGCGGTAGTTGAGGTGAACTTTAACACAAAAGTAACCATTTTAAGGTGTACGATTCCGGTACCTCTAACCACCTCTGCCTGTGTCCAGAACACTTCCGTCCCCCAACAAGAAACCCCGCCCCCTTAGCAGTCACTCCTTACTCCCTCGTAGCCCAGCCCGGCAACCACTGATCTGCTTCCCGCTTCTGTAGACGTCACTATTCTAGACGGTTCATGGGGATGGGATCACACGCTAGATCCCTTCATGGCTGGTCACTTTCACATGGCATCGTGTTTTCACTCCCTGGTGTGGCCAGAGCCCACGTCATCTCATCATCCACTGATGGCCATCGGCGTTTGTACACGAGTATTTGCTCGCTTGCGGCTCTTCTGTTCTTTTGGGCATAGCATAGACCTAGCAATGGGCTCCTGGGGTGACTCCGTCTTTAACTGAGGAACCCGATTGAGGTCTTAATGTCCCATCCTGGAGCTGTTACCACGTGGGGGTGCTGTGTGGCACAAGACTGGGGGTGGGTAGCTCTGGGTTGGGGTGTAAGTGGTGCCCTTACCTTGCTGTGTGACCTCTGGTGAGTTGCTTGCTCTGTTTACGCCCCCCCCGGGGGAACCTGCCAGTCACAGGATGGCAGCGTTGAGGGAGATGGTGTATGCGTGCCTGGCAAAGAAGTGTAAATTCAGTGGGAGCTCTGATACCTTTTAGGGTTGAGATTTGTTCTCCTCGGAGCCTGTTCCCACCCACTCAGAATCCACTGAGGCTCTAAGAGCTCAAGCTGCGATCAGCAGAGAGCCTACAACATGGGCGGGGGAGCTCGGGCCAGCGGGTAAGATGTAGGGCGGAAGTGTAACACGCCCAGCTCGTGGGGTTCCTCAGTTACACCCCAAACAGCCGCAGCCCCCGCTTTGGGGGTGCTTGTGGATGCTGTGGGCAGGACCCTGTTACATGCCACTCTTGTGAGCCAGGCAGTCCTGGTCTTCAAGGAAGGGTCTTCTCCCTGTGTTACAGGTGAGAAAATGGGGGCTCAGAGAAGCTGGCTGCAGGGGCATGCGTCTGGGAGGTGCAGAGCTGGGATCCGAACCTGGTTTTTACACTTCCTGCAAGCACATGTTGTAGGTCACTGGTGTTTCGTGAAGGGCCAGCATCCAACCCTGCCAGGAGGTGGCAGGACAGCTGTCCTCTCCTTCCCATGTCACAGGCTGGCGGCTCCGGGTGCATCTGTGGCCCCAGGGCTCCCACCAGGTCCCACCGACCCACTGTTGCCCTGGTTTAGGACCTTTCTGTGCCCCCTCCATCCTGCCTGCAGACGGGGAGCCAGAGTGCTCTTTCCTGGTCCGTTGAGATTTCTGTGTCTGACCTCTGTCTGACACAGAAACAGAGCAGGCAAGTTAGAGAGGTTCCAGAACAGGACTTGAAATGTCTTGTTGGCATAGCTCACTTACAGGTGTGTAGTGAAGGATCCACTGTGCCTAGAGCAGTCTGGCCTTGGCCCTGGGCTCCCAGGAGGTGACCTCTAGGAACCTTGGACTGTCCTGCCCTCAAACCTCTGTGTTTACCTGGGGTCTCTGACCAGGAGGTTTCACCTTGACCTCCAGAGGGGCTGGAGGCTAGGTCAGCCCGGGGCAGGGCTGGCCCCCGGTGGAAGCCGACCGCCAAGGCTCTGGAGAGCAGTACTCCATGCACGTGGTCATGCCTCTGTGCCGGGAGAAAGGGGGCAGGTGTAGGCTCTGGGCCTGCTCTCCGCCACCCCTGCACAGCTTCCCTTTGCTGTTGCCGTAATTCGTAGCTGAGTGAAAGGGTGCCGCGGAGTTCAGGGAGTTACTGAGCCACAGGGGGACTCTTGGGGACTCCCAGAACTTTGGACCGGGCAAGACCGTGTCTGTTAAAATACATACCTCAGCTTTATCAGCTCCGTTTTCCAGATAAGGAAACAGGCCAAGGTTTCATGACCACTAAGGGGGCCCCATGCACCGAGACCGCTTTGTTCCTCTAGCGGCCCTGCACTAGAAAATTCGAAAGCAAAACACAGCACGCGGCCGTTCCCAACCAGGGTTTATTGGTGCCTGACTGCCAAGCAGGGCACGGGCTACGTGGGCTCTACGGTCCTGTGCAGCGGGGCCCAGGCCGTGGGTGG